GTACATTCATCATATTTAATAAGAGCATTTTATTTTAAGTGAAACTATGTTCATGTACCAGTTGAATCTCCCGAGCAATTTGGAGTAACAATATATGCAAATGCATAAACAATAAATACTGCTCAAAATTAATTATAGATAAAGGGTAGCTTCTAGCAATCCTTTATTCACCATTAACTAAAATATTAGCAATTTAAAACTAAGATTGAATATAATGAACAATATAACACTATGAATCTATGTTGAACATCATATTTGTTACTCTATCAATATTAGTTTTTCAAAGCAACTTGGACTATAACAGCTAGTCTAAGAATCAGAGGAATAGAGCTTGAGTCAAGCTATATCCTCAAAGGGGTGAATGTTGTTGATCAAAGTGTTGTGGTTCATTAAATATTGATGGTTGTTTGTTATTGTCATCCCCTAACAATAGATTAGGGGGTGACAACCAAGATTGCCAAATTCTCCTACTCTTTTGTTTTTGGCTTCAACTATTGTATGTTGATATATGGTTTAAAGTCTTTTTTCGTCATCATTGTCTAACACTCAATCAACTCCATTATGCCTAATCAACATTACTGCAAAATACATGTATATTAACATATCAAAGCAAATTATAACAATGTATTTACTCTAAATGAGAAATTATACAACAAAAAAGATAAATACATAATCATGCTTACTAGAAGTCAAACCAAATTTGTGTATGTGACACTCTACCCCAACATACATATACAATAATTATAAAAACATATTCTCAGGGTAATAAAAATCTTTTGGATCGAAAGAATGATTCCACTAACATAAGAGTAAATGATTCACATTTGTAAACTTAAATCATGGTCAAATGCAAAATTTATAAGAAAATGAAACATGAGTTTTTCCAAAACAAAATAACAATAATGAAATCCTAAACTAAGCCTAACTACGCCCCGATGTCACATATCCTATCAGAGCATGCCCAACTGAAGCCTAAACCTCATCACCAATATCCTCATGTTGATGATCACCTACAACACAATAAAATACACATAGAGCAACAAGGGAGTAAAAAACATCTCACTCAGGTTAGACAGCACACACACAACAAATAGAATACAAGTCACAAGCACAATCACATGTAAACAATACACATACTAAATCAGTATCACATACACACTCATTTATCATGTAATGATGTCATGGACTCAACTCATAAATGAATGCATGTGACGCCAATCATGATGGAGGACCATCCTTGAAGCATCATATAGGGCCTATCACAAGGTCCATGACTATGAGAGTAGAGGAAGATGAAGAAAATACCACACTAAGAGCCATTAAATCATGTGTGTAAATTTTGAGCCCTTTCCTTAGTTTGTTGCTTTCTTTTCTAATTTTGCCCTTGTATTTTGGGGTAGATTAGATATTAGGATTTTACTTTTTATTTCTATTTAGCCTTTGTATTATGGGGTAAAATTAGTCTTAGAATTTATTTTAGGACTTAAACCTTAATTTAGAAGGTCAAAGTCCATTTCTTTCTTTTTCTAAACCTAAGGGCACTTTAGTCTTTTAGGAGAGATGAGAGCCATTTCATTTGGGCTGCATTTAGGGTGTATTTGGACCTCAAAATTTCGGCCAAATGCTCCCAAGAAACCCTAGATGTATTTTCTCTCTCTATAAGTACTTTAGGTCACCCACCTTGTAGCCACTTTGGAAATTAATGATATTGAGTGGGTCTTGGGCCTCTTTATTCCTTCCTTAGTCCCCTAAGAACTCCATGGCCCCCTATCCTCTCCCCTCTTCCTTGAGTGAGCTTGGGTCTTCCTTGGTTGACCTTCATCATCCTAAGTGAAGTGAGCTAGCCTAAAGGAGCTATACCACCAAACACCTTCCCCTCCTCTCCTCCATTTTTTGTGTCAACCTTCACCTACCTAAACACCATCTCCACCATTTCCATACCCTTGATGAGATCACCCTTCATGTCATCTCAACCTTGGAGAAGAGAAGGAATCAACCATTAGCCCTCATAGAGAAGTTGGTTCCATTAAATCACATATCACTGGTGTGCTGCCTAAACAACACACCTAAGGTAGTCTAGGAGTACATGTACTCTCAACTAGAAGGATATACTGCTAGGGTCTGGTTGGGATAGCGAAGTTGTGCAAGTTACGTCTCATGCTAAAAAACGGGCGAAATCGCCCCAAGTTGTTACACAAGGAAAGCCTTCCTTAACGATGTACTCCATATCGTACCCGTCACATAGATGCACATGATACATGTCACATACATTCACACTCCATGGACTCATCACTTTACTTGTCATGGAATTTCATGTTTTATCTCATTTCACACGTTTCATATTCTCATAGTCATAGTGTTCATAATAGCACGTATTTCACATCATGTCTCATAAAACACATCACTTACGTTAACACAGTAATAAGGTAATTCCCACACAATTTACATCATCAAACAAGACATAAAACATGTAAAACATCATAAGGATCATGCCCAGCGCACCCCAACTCGCGCCCGGCGCATTAAATGCCGCCCCAAAAGCGGAGCATCACGCCTGGCGCGCCCTAAGCATGCTCGGCAAATTTAATGTCACGCCTAAAGCAGAAAATCCCGCCCAGCGTAGCTTCACACGCGCTCGCCATGGCTTTCCTACGCCTGACGCAACTTTCCTGAGCCCGGCACAACTTTCCTTAGCCCGGCACAACTTTCCTTAGCCTGAGCCTGACTCAACTTTTCCTAGGAAACTATGAATTTGCGCCTGGCCCACTTTGTGCGAACCTACACTTTGAAATCAGATGATTTTTCACAATAAACATGTAATCATATAAATCAATCAGTAAAAAATCCTCCAAACAACACCTAGAACATAAATCCATACTCAAATTTACATAAAATACCTTAAATCTTGTCAAAAGATCATACTCTTAATTGTTTCTAATAGGTTTCTCACGGGAACCCACAAAGTACTCTAATTTATATCAAAACTTATCTAATTTCAAAATTAAACACATATTCACGCATCACATCTAACAAGGAACACAACAAAAAACTCATACATCAAAACAGAAAACATTCATATTTTGTTTGTTCCTAGAAGCATGCATCAAGCAAGGGATTGAGAGCCAATCGTGCTACCCAACAATTATTCCCACATCCCCGAATGAGATTTCTCACTCCCCCTTACCTTGATGAACAGAAGATGAAGCACGAGCGAAATCGAGTTGATTCTCCCCCTCAGGTTCTCCTTGGTCTTTAGAAGCATAGAAAGAAAATGAGTCAGGAAGAAGAATGCGTGGAATGACTCAAATAACTTCTAATAACCTCCATTTTCTCAAATTAATAAAATAATAATAATAATAATTTGCAAAAGACTATTACGTCCTTCCTTCCCTTTCATAAAATAATAATAATTAATAATAATATTATTATTATTATTAAACATATCTTCTCCTTTTCATAAGATAATTTAAACATAATTATTAATAATAAAAAATATATTTCATAAAAATAACTCTTGTTCTACGAATTAAATAAAATTAATTATAAATTGTGTCATATAAATAAAATAGAACTTATATAACTAATTAAAAGTAATAGGCATTGAAAGTAATCACATTTTATTTGTAACACTATCAACCTGACAAAAAAATAATTCATTCTGATAAATAATTCTTTTAATAATCTATTTTTATAATTTAAATTGATTTTTAATTTAATGTGGCCAAAAGGCTTTCGTTTTCTTTGGGAAGTAAAAAATGTAAAAAAAGCTTGACAAGAAATAATATGGGTAAATAATTGACATCATCTTGGCCTAAATCTAATATCAATGGAAAATATTCTTTTTTTTTAGAGAATGTCAAATGGATGAACATCATGATTGTGTTTTCTCAGAAGAATCTGAAGTTTGAGAGCGATCTCCTTCGATCAATTTTGTTTGTGCCCAAGGAATTGCAACAATCCTTATTACTATCATTGATACTTTCTTCAGAATTTTTTGAATTAAGTAAATCAAGAAGTTTGCCATTTGGCACCTTCATTTCTAATTTAAGAAGAATTTTTTAGCTTTATAATATCTCTTCTAGAAATTTAAAGGCTAAAAGGCAGCTATGTTTTTAGGCATCAATGTTTATATATATATATATATATATATATATATATATATATCAAATACTTAAATTTCAATTTTTTTAATAAATTTTTAATCTAAATAAAATATTTCCCTTCAAAACATTTAAAATTCTTTTAAAAAAATAATAAATTACTCTGAAATTCCATCATCCAAATACATTGCTAAGACTAGGTATTTTTTAAACTCAACATTTGGTTAGGGCATGATTTTGATCACCAAAGAACAAAACTGTCCAAGCTAAAAAAAAGGAAAAGAATAACCAAATTGCTTCTCCCAATAAAGGAAAATATAAACAGAAAAAGGAAAAAAAAAAGAATAAATAAATAAAAGAAAAAGAAGAAAAGAAACTTACTTATTGAAGAAGACAAGTGTTACATACCCGCCAAAGAAATGTCAAAGAACCGTTGGAGGAGATCTGTCTGAGAAAGAGAAGATGAAGGGAAGTTAGGACAGTGAGGAAGGAGAGTGCAGCGCCCACTACTTTCTCGACCCACACTCTGTTTCTCTCAAAACAAAAAAAAAATGAAAATAAAGACAAAAATACCCTCATTTCGCACTCGCTACAGCCACGATTGCGGCCGCTATAGACAACATAGGCTTAGATACTTGAGTCTCCTTAGTCAATATAAATATGAAATAAGATATGGACATAAGAAAATAAATCAGTTAGATAAATAACGTTGGTACAAGGGACCTCACTCAAATTTATCATTTCTACTGTACAAAGAGAGATGAAGACAAACGTATGATTGTACAAGGTTGTAACAAAAGTACAGTCTTTGTACATGTGATTCATGCTTTGTACAAAAATTCTACTTCCGATGTCAGTGTGGACAGATGAAGGGTGAATCGTCTTGATTCCCCTCTGATGCTAAAACCCTTCACTTGTCTTTTTCAATTTCTTTCGTGAATAGATGAACTTATGCAGGTCAACTTGTTCATCAATAGAGCCGTGTGAGCTGCTTGTTTCATTCTGGCTCTCTTGATTCCATGAACTTGGTTGCTCCACCTAAGAAAAAAAATAAAATATTAACAGTCTTAACTGAAACAAGAAACAAAGGTAACAAGAGAGAAGCAAAGGGTAACTCGTTAAAACAGTTGGAAGAAGAAAGTACCACAGTGACTGGGTCAATAGCACCCATTGCATGATCATTGTTGCATGAACAGGATCTGGACAAAATAAAATCACATGTCATTGTTTCCCAACATAAAATCTCTGGACACAGTTGTGGTGAGGTTAAAATATCCACAATATTTTACTATGAGATTGATTAAGTGTGACTCTTGTATGATGAGAATGGTAATCTCTTTTGAATTACTTTTTTTAATTATTAATAAATAGTTTAACCTGTGAATCATATAACTCCAAATAGATCACATGAACATTAATAGCATACACCTGAATCGATCACATGAACATTAGTATGTGACGACCAGAAAGATGGAACTTTGATAGTAATTGAACTTGCTAATTTCAATAATTTTCTATAAAAAATTATTAAGTGTAGAAGTGTGACACCTGGTGACAATCCACACATATATATATGTATAGAGATAGAGGAAACATTTAATTTCATTATAATTTTGTTTTCTCACATGGTTAGGATTAAATAGACAGAAGTTAAGACTTACTCCTCCATTTGTTGATCAACTACCCTTCCTTCATCAGTCTCTTCTATTTGGTATACACCACATTTTAGTTGTGACTCTGCACGTGAAAACATCAAAATTTTAGTCCTCCTTGTGTGTGGCACAAACTTACTTAATCGGCTCCTCCATTACAAAATCAAATAATTAGCCGATCAAATAAAAATTTACAGACCTATTAACAAAACTGAATCGCTAGATGGAATATTAGTCAACAGCTTCTGGCACATGATGGTACCCTGAAAATCTAGGAAAGTATAGTCCAGAAATTGAGATCTCTCAAAATCAGTCATCTTTGCAAATCCAAAAGAGCCTGTCCATGTTTCTAGCACACTAGGAACAGCCGGCAACACAAGTCTCTCCACACCTAGTTGTGTGAGTTTCTGAAGAAAGAAAAGTAACATGTTAGGAACTAATAGAACTAACTTTATCTTAAGAAGAAAACAAATTATGATACTATAGTTATTGTCACTTTTTTTTTATCCAGACTCACCACTTGCACACAAATTTAACAATTCAACAACCTAGGATATTTATGATTTTGAAACAATGTAGTCATCATACACGTTTCATAATATGACATTATGACAAAAATGTACTAATAATTAAAAAATGAAAAAAAAAAACATTACGACAAAGGGCAAATGTATGTTTTGTGGATTACCTTTTCAAGCTCATTTATTAAAATGCGACACATTCCATGTCGACGATATTGTAATCTGGTACCAACAAGAGGTAATTCTGCTACCCTCTTCCCATAGACCCTAAAAAATTGACATGGCAAATGAAATATGACCATAACATGACAAGGCACAAAAAGCAACTCAAATAGAACATGTAGTCATACCGTCAAACAAAGCATAATACTTGATAGTAAAAGATCCTATACTCACCTAACAGTTGCAACACTGATCAGTTCTTCATTTCTCTCAAGTAGCACAGTATAGAAACCCTGGAAGCTTAATCGGTTAAGCTCTGACCTGCAAAGTTCCGAAGTGCAGATATCATGATTATGGACAAAGTAAATAAGGTAGCTGTTAACAAATCCAACAGTAAATGTTATTCATATAAATATCACATTAACCGTGCATATTAAACACGAACCTCAATATGAATGAATTTTTAATTTTTTAACTAATTCAATTTTTATTTATCATAATTATTTATGATTTAAATTATTTTTTAAATAAATTATCAAAAATAAAATAATATTATACTACAATATAAATTATTTATCATAAATCTAAAATACAATTTATATATTTAAAAGTATTTATTTATATAAAATTTAAATATCATATATATTCAAACATAAAATTTATGTATATAATATTTATTATAAATCAACCTTCTATATTAAACACAAATCCCTATTTTATATGAGATCATTTTAAACAGTTTTTGTTTAATGAAATTTTTTAAAATATTTTTTCAATTTCTTAACTAATTTAATTTTTATTTATCATAATTATTTGACTTAAATTTTAATATTTTTAAATAAATTATTAATATATAAAATAATATTATACTATAATATAAACTATTTATCAAAATTTTAAAATATAATTTTATATATTTCAAAATATTTGTAACGACCCGTCAGGTTTCACACTGTATATAGCGTCTTTATATATTATTTATTATAAATTATATTTACATATAATAAATATTTAGTCTAATACACTTATACTAATACAACAAGTACAAGTAACATAAAACATTAATGACCATATCGTGAGGGATAAAAATTTCTGACCATCTGTTGAATATAACATCTTCCACAATATCTCTGCGAGTGAAAGATTCCTTTAGAGGCTTAAAACACTCATGCATCACCGAAAGAGCGAGATTGAGTTTGCAGTAACTTTCTGCCAATAAGTCACTTTTAATACTACCACTGTCACAACGGTCAGGGTCGATAAACTTCACCAATGTCCAAGTTAGCTTGTCCACACCCACAGAAATTGGTTTTCCTAATAATTTATGAAGGCCCTCATATATCTGCAAAAAATAGACACCAAAATATAAAGTTGAACCAGTGTCCTAAAAGAATCTCACTCAATGAAGACACAACCTAAAAATGTTTCTCTAGCACAACATAAATATCATCTGTTTGTCAAAACATAACATGTAAAATCACCAAAATCAATCATCACTATTTCTAGGAAATCTCATGAGTAACTGTTGACCAAAATTACATGTGCAGAAGTATTTACAATAAATATAAAATTGTTTCTATAAACAGACATAAAAAAATGTAAAATAATGCTTCCAATGAATGTAAAAATGAAAAAAGAAACATCTATTGATGCTAGATGATTCTCAAGCTAAGATGGAAATGATAATGTTGTTCCTATTCACTGCCAAAAGCCACGGGTCCTGAATGAAAACCAAAAAATAACTCTGATGTTTACACTCATCCAATCTCCTGAATTAAAAACTAGAAAATGGCAGGCTGAGCCTCATAATGCAAATAAGCCAACCCCGTAGCCATGCCTAAAGCACTCTGTTGATTGATTGACCGAGTTTCACCCCATTAGAACCAAACAAATAATCACGGAGACTCCTATTTTTCATCAAATCGCAAACAAAAAGCTTGAAGGTAAACAAATAGGAACAATAAATTTTTCATGCAGATTATGGCTAAAAAACTATAAGAAATAAAGGAGTTGGATTCAATGTACCTTTTCACAGTCTTTTCCACAGAACCAATTTCCAAGATATCTTGATATATCTACAGCTCCATTTTTCAGGCACCTAACATGATCTGCACAAGTTTGACAAAGATATCACCAGATTCACATATGCAGACAAATACACACTCAAAAGATATTCAGGCATGTTGAAATATTAAAGTAAAATTATAGAGTAGCTTACTTACATTTATGTTCACACTGAATGCAAGTTAGGAAATGTCCAACCTCATCTCCATCAATTTTCCTTTGGCCACAAATCCCGCAGCGACAAGATGGACAAAACCAGTCACCATCAGGGATTTCCTATACGGAAGAAAAAAAAGAAGCCAAAGGAGCAAATTCAGATCCAAGATCAATTATTGGTATCAATGTACCCAATTGAAGTCATATAAGAAGTAAAAACACAATATAGCATTAAATATAGCATGAATGAGAAGGAAAATGGTTAATATACCTCCAAACCGAGACACGTCTTATGAAATGAAGATGGACATTTATCGCATAAAATAAGTTCACCGCCATAGTGGCAAACAGAACAAATGTAGTCATTCTCAACTATAGACAAATCACTGAATGATTTTCCGCTAGTTTCCTTCGTCTTATGACTTCGCATCATTTCTATCTGGCAATCTAACAGTGATCTACCATCTTCCAAAAAAATACTAGCAGAGGGTCTGCAGGTACTACTGCCACCAACATGATTTTCAAAGCCAACAAAACTGAATATCTTCATGCAACAGTTACACTTAATTCCATCGTGAGTTATTTTCCCTTCACCCAAAGTAGGGACTTCACGGTACCTGCTTTTTTCCTTATAGTAAACCTTCGACCTTGGTAAGATGATGTTGCTGTCTATCAAGCAAGACATAACATTTAAAGGTTTTTGATGTAAAAGAGAAGGGACAGACACCTTTTGCACCCTCTTCCTTGATCTTAACACCCGTAGAGGCAATCCATTGCTTTGGCACTTCGGTATGTTGGCCTTTGAATCCCTCAACCTTTTCCGCTTTCGATTTACACTCGACCTACTAGCAGCAGTACCATCCATAGCCTGCAACTCAGGGTCTTGTAGTTGCATTTGGGATTGCTGATCAACATTTGCCTCATTCATGCTTGACACATTTACAGGTTGATTGCCAAACATAGTCCATTTAGGAGTGTTTTCTTCGATACAAAATCTGCATGCTGCATGGAGTGTTGGGAATTTCCGATTCTGTGGAGACATGTATATTATTCCCCTTTTCTTATTATTTGGAGGTGGATAGTCAAAAAACCATCCTTCTGCTAACAGATGATTCTTTGCTTTCGGTATCCATTTTCTTTTATCAACCCGATTCTTATTGGATACATGGGCGTTATAATATTGCATGATAGCTTGAGGACAAAAATCAGGTTCATCTTCAACAGGAGAAAATGGCACAGTTGGAATATTTTCTGACGGATTAAGAGGCATCTCAGAAAGATTACATTCAACTGTAGGATGTTGCATTGAAAATGGCACAGTTGGAATATTTTCTGATGGATTAAGAGGCACTTCTGAAAGATGACAGTCAACTGTAGGATGTTGAATTGAAAATGGCACAGTTAGAATATTTTCTGATGGATTAAGAGGCACCTCTGAAAGATGACAGTCAACTGTAGGATGTTGCATTATAATCTGATCATTTTGGAACTGCAAGGAGTTCATATTGGGGTTGTTCTTTATAGCCCTACAAACTTCAAGGAGTGAAAGATAAGCTTTATGGCCCAGTTTATCAGGAACATGATACCTGTAACGTTGAATGTTACGTTTCTTTGTCCTCTCAATTTTCCATCCAAGGTACACAAGATGTTTTTGCAATTTCTCCGACCAAAATGTCCTTGCATGTTTGGAAGCCCGTGGATATTCATTAACAGCATCAGGGCAGAATTCACCTTCAGAGAAATTCACAGGTTTCCAATAGTCGGAACTTGTACTTTCTTCAAAACAGTTAGCACCTGAAACTACTTCACAAGCACCACCATTGGGACCAAATTCTTTTTGAAACTCAGGTAAGATCTGTTTAACATGAGTTTCCTTATCAGGCAGGGTCGTGTTTAAACCAACACTAGCCACAGCTTCAGCAGAAGCCAGCTCTGGTGCTTCATTTAATAAACTTCCTGGAAGGTTTAAGGTCGAGATAACTTCTTTTACCATAACAGATAAGTAGTCATTAACTACCTCCACCACCACTTTTTTCCACAAGTACTCCACATTACATGTCCATTCTCTAATCATCTCAAAAAAATCCCTTTTTAGGCGCACATCATACCAAATTTGCTGAGCTGAAACTGCAACAAACAATTTCCCCTTCAGCTCCTCAACCAAGTCAAGAAACACCCACTTCCCTCGCTGCCCCCACTCCTCTGTAACTTCATCCCAGTCCTGAGTAATCCGCATCTGATGCATTTCAGCTTGTAGTTCATCACCCAAATCAGGGAAAAACACAGTCCTCTTCGTCATTCCATCATTGTGGTCAAATATAACACCCTCCCACCAAGCTTCCTCATATTTCACATCAACACAAAGACCAAACCTAAGGTCTGATTTCTCAAAATCAACCAAAGGAGGCACCGGCCTAAGGATCCCACGCTCGTAGTAGTTTACGTCTTCAGTATCACCATCCAAAGCTTTTGAAACAGTTACTTCTTCCTCAAGATAACCCTCACCATTATTATCCAAAACATTTTCATATCTGATGAGGCGCTTCAACTTCTCGCACTGTAAAACTGTCGCAGGGTGCCATGATCCCGCAAAACCCATCTCTAAACTCCTCAACTGCAAAATTTCCAAAAAAAAAAAAAATCTCAGATAAAAGAAACGTCACTCACTCGTGTTCACTACTACCAAAGCAAGTGTGATCATTATGGAAAAAAAGAAGAAAAAAAACATTGCAAAACAACACGACACCATATTACGTTAGCATAAAACAAACAAAGCTACACATCAAAACACTCTGCATCAAAATGACACCGTATTCTTTTTGACTTGATCATGAAAAAAAATTGACATTACCTCCACTTTTTCACCGACATCAAGTTTTCTTGAAAACCCTCTTTTACGGTTCTTGCCATGAGAATTATCGGAACCCTCCACCTCCATTGGAGAGAAAAGTGAAGAGACGACGACACCTACAAATTCAAAACATGAAAATGTTGTGTAACCGCTTTCAACAAAATATTATGAAATACTCTTTATATCTTCATTAATGATAATTCATAAAATACGTTTATGATATATATCATTAATCATGGATTATATGCCGAAGATGATAATTTATGGTACAAAATTATTTACCGTTTATATATTTCATTTCTGTTGTCCATACAAATTATTTATCGTAAGCTTTATACATTATTATTAGATTATATTATAAAATCTAAATATCTACTGTATCATCAATATACCTATATATATACCAATATTTTTTTTACATATTCTATATATCATTAAAGATAGAAAGTATTTTATAAATTTTTCTAACTAAAAATTATATAGTCCGTTGGTGTAATATATAGTCCAACCCATTTTTTTTTATAAAAAAAAGTACTTAGGTATTTTTGACAATTTCCTCCTAAAATAAGGAATTCTTCCCTCTTAATGAATATTTATTAGTGCATTAATTGTTAAATATGAATTATTCTCCCATTAAATACATTAATTTAACGTAAATAATCGTTTTAATGATTAATTACAGGTGTAATTGGAATTTTAATTATTTTTTATACGACTAAAATGCAGAAGGTGATTCTTGATATATGCTATTAAAATTATAGGCAAAAATAATTATTTGTTATTCTGATATATGGTATTAAAATTATAGGTACAAAAATTTATTTTTAAATGCTTTTACAAGACCATGCAGAATTATAGGTAATATATATATATATATA